CCACAAGCCTGCATACTAGGTGGGAAGTCAGGGCTCCAAGCACAGGCCCTCCTCTGTGTCCATTGTAAGATCTTTCTGCTTTTCCACCTTCTCCATATACCACAGAGAAATGTCAGAAAGGGAACTGACTCTTTTCCTCTGATTGCTCACCACGTCCGCCCTTGTTCCCAGGCTTCCGAGGCCTTAAGAGTTGACACAGATGCCACGGTACAATTGCAGCACGGTTTACACTCGGGAAAAGGAGGGGAGATGGCCATGATTTACTCCAACAGAGGTTCCAACTGAGACATCCCTGGTACCTTAACAATGGGCTGAGACCCTCAGTAAAAGCTGAAGAGGGAGCAGTCTCCTCTGGATGGATGCCATTCTCTGGTTTTTGAAAAGAAAAATCATTGAAATTTGCTTTCTGGAAGGCATACAAAGACCACAGGGCAGTGAGGAGACACCAGTCCAACCAACTACCAGTCAGCCAAATGGTAGGTGACATAGATAAGCACCATGCCATGAGAGTCATTCAAGAGAACAGGTCAGCCCAAACCTTCCCCATTGTTCCTCGGCCCCGTCCTCCCTGCAGCAGGCTGACTTCATGTTAAATGAAGTCTTCAGGGGAACTGGGACTAAGCTTTATGTGCCTTGGCAGTGAATTGAAGCTTCACAACTCTGAAGTTGCTGAGAAATTCAGAGCGTGTACTTTCATAACTGAGAATACTTCAAAAATAATCATCTCAACTGATTTTGAGGTAATGACAGATTTTTCCATAGCTTCAAGGCTCGGGTCAGAGGACTGAACTAGCCAAGGGAACCAGGGAGAGCGCTGGACCATGCGTTCACTAATTTCCAGACCACAGTCATTGTTTTAAAATTGGTGTGTCTTTTATGCCCTTCTTCTGTCCTCATGGCCACTCACTGGTTGAGAAGCAGAGCATTTTGTTTATAAACATAATACCTCTAGAAGTAAGAGCCTGAAACCTCTTCTCTACACATTCACTGTGTGCCATAATGCTCGGTGTGACCATCAATGAGGACAGGCGCTGCACTGGTATTCCCGAGGTCAGAGGTCTGTTTGCTGCCAGAGCTTACAATCCTTCACCCCAGAAAGAAGACAGTGTTCCCACTACCCCTTTCCCTCAGGCCCAGGTCCCCCACATCACCTATCTTCTCCTCTTCTCAGATGGAATTAGAATAGAACATACAAAGAGATGGGGCAGCTGTGTGTTCTTTCTGGGGTGCAGGATGGACACATTCTGGAGCCACTGAGGCACGTAGAGCCAGAGAGGTCATGGCACAAACAGATGGACCACAAATGACATCTCTAACAGGCCCCTCGTAAGCCACAGGAAGCTGCAGGAACCCACCCAGGGGCCCCTGCTTTCAGAACTGGTAAAGTACAAAATAGACCCTCACATGATCAAATGTCAGGGTCCATCAGCAAACTGGGACAGTTGGGTGCGTGATACAAAGCACCCTGATTTCTCTTCTGTGGTGTGTGTGATCTGATGAGAAAAGAGGTGTGGTTACATGTGCCCTGCCCCCTAGGGAAATGGCAGGCCTTTGTTTCGGCTCTTTACCATGTTGTATATGTGTCTCCTCAACGCTTAGAAAGTGCTCTGATTTCTCCCCCTCCATATTTTACAAGTGAGTGTTTATGCTTACTACCCCAAATTTCACAATGTATGGAGGCAACATGAGTTTGTGACCGTCTGCAACGTAATATTGTGACTGATCAGACATAATGACAATCACTGGATCAGCGAGCTTCGAGCCATCCACAATAAATCCCGTTACCTCCCTGATATCTGTGTTCACAAAAACATTTGGGTCAGTCTGTTTTCAGGCTAGCTAGCTGTGAGTTATCACAGAGTCTATTTGCTCTGCTTCTTACTGTCCAGAAGAAGAAATGTGAACCTTGCAGAAAGGACAATTATTAAAATATACACATTGCATGTAAGCATTAAAACAATCAACTGCATTCAAAAATCTATTCTGAAGAAATTCCACTGAGGACTGAATAACATACATACAAAAATAAAGAGAAAGGAAAATTTATATGTATACATATACAAATACACACACACATATACATACAGTGTTGATTCTTCCTGCTGAAAGTGCTGATCCAAACCTGCCTGGAGGAAATGAGTTGTTTTGAAACATACACACACACACAGAGAGAGAGAGAGAGAGAGAGAGAGAGAGAGAGAGAGAGAGATGCAATTATAGAGAACCAGCAAGTTAACACACTTGCAGACGCCCTGGTCCCTCAAAAGAAAGAATTGTAGCTTTCCATATAAGTTCTGAGAGCAGAACAGATCCTCCGGGCAAATGAGAAAACAAGTGATCATGTCAGCGTCTTCTGGCAGAACGTTCTCCAATGCCAAGAAGCTGTGGAGCATCAGTCAGTTCCGGAAGGCACCTGCTTGTAAGAAGCCTTTTAATATTCCAACAGCATGGTTTTATGTGCTGAAGTCAATGCTGGTCCTCCTTCTCCACCAATTTTCTCTCCTATGAGTTCAACGAGGAAAACTCGAAGCCTACAAGGATGCCCCACCCTTTAACACTACAGTACGACATTATCATCTACAGATGTGCTGAACCCTTTTCATAACTATCTTGTGAAGCAAGTGGGCTGGGGACCTCAGGTGGGATATGTGTGGGGGCCTAAAAGGATAATGTGTATGTCCAGCATCTCCTTTTCCTAAGGTCCAGTCACAAGAAGGGGAATGTGAACGCTGGCCTGGCAGAGGACAGAAGCAGAACAGTGGGGGAAATATTTGCACAGGAGCCCATGCACAACCTGCAGTGGGGCCTCCTACCCAGCTCCCAACATGCCAGTCTCCAACATGCTCCACCTGTAAAATAAACTTAGTTTTAACTTAAAAAGAAATTTAATACAGCTCCTAGTATGTAAAACTTTACATCAAACATAACCTGCTTTATACAGTATGGACCATTCCCAAAATGTTTTAGGAACACCCACAAATATAATGTCAAAAACAAATCCCAAAGTAGGCCCTTACCTGAACAAAGGGAGGAACGTGATACTTACCAGGTTCCACTCTCTTGCCACAGCAGCAACAGCCCAGTGAGGGAAAACTGTTCCCTCCTGGTCAAGGGAATGAAGTGTCTGGCCTGGATTGAGGCCTGCTATTCCGGTTGGGCAAGTCAATAATATGACTAAGAGACCACCCTTCAGAGAGGCGGGATCACCCCTGGAAGGCAGGCTCACCACTAACTGGAATAATCATTTCTTTCATGAGATGATCATCCTTCCTAAAGGAGCCCTGAGCGCAGCCCCCAGGAGCCACTATGAGGTCCAGCTGGGTCCTTGAACCTTTCCGAGGACTTCAGACACACATCTCTCTCCCTTCTCTTCTGCCTTTCTATTTCAGATCCTAGTCCTAGCCTAAGTACGCTTCCTCTGGCATTTTGCACTTCCTTATTCTTTCTTGCAAACTTCCCTCTCTACCACATGGCTGCTTGTTCACTGTGTGGTTGGCCTCCACGCCAGATGATCCCGAAGGGCAAGGTTTATTTCCTCCCCCTCTGCCACTGGGAAGCTGCTGAGATTCACAGCTCAGCTGCCATTTGTTGGTTTGATTTTTAATCTAATACAATCTTCCTCAAGTTTTCACTTGAGCCCATTCTCAAATTCTTTTATTAATGAGACCAACAACCCAAAGAGAGACCCTAATTTCTTACATCACTCTGACCTCTTTGATCCTGTGCCAGGGGATTCTTCCCCTTGATTGTACATAGGGATCATATGAGAAGCCTTAAAAACAGGGTTACTGGGATCCCACCCCACCCCCACCAGAGATGCTGGTCTAACATGCCTGTGTATGACTTGAAAGTTTCTCAGTTCCCCCAAGGGGATCTCAATGTTCAGATGGGGTTGAGAACCACTGATCTTCCTTAAAGAATGCCACCACTTCCATGAAGGGGCCCAATGGGTTGACAACACAAAACATCTCAAGAATGAGGGCCACCCATTGTGTGTCCTCCACATCCTACTCTCTCAGGATACACTCTTGTCTTACTAATTCTCATAAGCTTGATCACCTCAGCGATCTAAGCCTGTAGTGACTGCAGCAGGCCAGGGTTTATATTTTATTTGTGTTTGTCATATTGAAATACCAAATGGAACTCTCTCTCTCTCTCTCTCTCTCTCTCTCTCTCTCTCTCTCTGTCTCCTCTTTCTCTCTCTGTCACGCTCTTTTCTTCTTCCCTTCTCTCCATTCCTTCTTCTCTCCATCCCTTACTCTCTGTCTCAAGTTGCAGTTATACGTAGGCAGTTTTCTAGTGTAGTTTGGGGGATTCCACTGGACAGGGCTCCAGTGCAGCCCCATGGCTCTTCACACATACCTCAGTATATGGAGCATTCAGGAAAGGAAAACCCTTTCTAAAGAAATAATCTCATTGCTAGAACAAGGACAGAAGGCTCCCGAATGATTCCCCGACTGCCTTCGAGGTGCCTTTCGTGGACTAAGGGGTGGCATAACAAGACTGAATTGTAGCAGGGCCCTGCACAGAGCCTACAGCCCACCCGTCCCCATTCTCTGCACAGGCACTGCTTAGGCTAACCAATGAGGAAGATGTGATAAGGACTTTTCCCATCCACCTACGGGAGTCCAAGTCTCCAAGAGTCAGCAGCAGCGGAGACAGCCACCTTGACAATCACTCTCTTCTTTCTCATTCTGTGCTAATCTCCCTGAGCTGTATCCAGACTCTGCAGTCTACTCCGCCAAGGCCTTTGAGGTGAGTCAGGACACGGTTGAGTAGCCTGCTTTCCCTTCCTGCTGAGATCTTCTGTTTTCCCCACCGAGAGCAAGGAGATGAGTTTCTACCACCTCCTCGGACAAGGAGGCCCAATTATATAGCATACAGCTGAAACTGGACTTGCATATAGAGCTGGTTTCTATCCAGCCCTCCCGCCTTCACCTAACCACTCAGTAAAAAGATCTATAGTGGGAGAGGAAGTTGGGGTTGCCGGAAGGTCTTACCTTCTGAGCAGAGTGTGCCGCCATAGCCAGTGGTGGAACAGTCACAGGTGGGATGGCCATCCAAGAGGAAGCAGATCCCACCATTTTCACAGGGACGCTCACCACAGGGTCCCTCTGCTTCTAACTGGACACCCTGGCTCCCCAGAAGCCGCGGCTCTGAGTTGCCGTACTTGAGATCCAGCATTAATCCCTTAAAGCCAGGCATGTTCTGTACTCCATCGAGGGTCAGGGCAGAAGGTCGGATGTCAGCAGGGACGCCACCGAGGAACAAGTCGCTGACCACATCCATGTAGGGCCTCTGAGGTTGTAGCTCCCCAGACTGGCCCTCGCCATCAATCACCAGCCCAGTGCGCAGGCGGTCACGGCTCACCATGAGGAAGTGCCAGCTGCTGTCGTTCACCTGCTTGTTGGACAACACGGCTGTCTCAGCGCAGTCCATGCTAAAGCGGAGCTGAACTCGGCCATCCACCAGAGAGAGGCAGAGGAAGTCACAGACACCACCATCATCCAGATACAGGAGCAGCCCAGTGGATACGTTGGTCTTGAACTGGAAGCTCAGGTCACTGCGCGTGCTTGCATCCCAGCGCAGGTAGCGGGCCCACTGGTTGGGGAGACCCATGAACTCCAGACCCAGGCAGAGCCCAACCAGGGAGCCCAGGAAGATGCTCACCTTTAGGGTGAAGAAAACCGAGTGGAGGGTAAAGCTCATTGTGGCTGCTGGGCCAGAGCACAGAGGAATAGATGGGCCAGGGAACAGTCCTGGGGGTGGGAGGCAGGGGGTAGGTTTTGGTGATAGAAAGACAAGGCGGTGCACAGAGAACACACAAGAAGAGTACACTCAGGAGTGTTCGGAGGGTGAGGAAGGAGGAAAAAGGCAACAACACAGCCCTAGATAGGCATACAGGCAAGAAATCCAATAAAGAGGCAGAAGAAACAGAAAGGGAAATGTTGGGTAGGGCAAACCAGGGGCAGAGGTGAGGAATAAGTATCTTTCTCCAAGAAAAGATCTCAGCTATCCAGGTGGATCCGGAGGCCTTGATTCAAGGAGGAGAAGGAGCTCAGGGTGGGAACAAGCCTTCAGCGATGTATTCCTCCCGTCAAATGTTCTAGCCAGGGAGCCCAAGATCAGGGCTAGAGCCCCAGGCAGTGGCGGAGGAGGAAGAAACAGTGAAGTGAGCCAGGTATAAGGTGGCCCAAGTGAAGGAGCAGTGTTAAGGTTCAATTGTCTAGCAGAAGCAGGCTCTGGGAAGGGGAACCACAAGCAACTGAGTACTCAGGCAGAGTGGGGCCCAGAGCAGAGCAGAAGCAGAGTCAGGCTTCATGGTGCTGATCAGAGGCAGCGTTGCCCATAGCACAGCTCCCAGGACTCCAGAGAAAAGACCTGCTGGGGAAGAGAGATAAGAGAGTAAGATTAGGGCTAAGCACCATCACCCCAAGGCACCATGTCCCAAGGCACCATCATCCCAAGGCACCACATCCCAAGGCACTAACATCCCAGGGCACCAACATCTCAGGGCACCAACATTCCAAGACACCAACATCCCAAGGTACCAACATCCCAAGGCACCAACATTCCAAGACACCAACATCCCAAGGTACCAACATCCCAAGGCACCAACATCCCAAGGTACAAAGACTGATGGAGTATAGATGCCAACCAGGCAATTCTAGATACTCCTTCAATGCTAGGTTCTTCACACAAGACAAGGACCCAGTTCTCCTGTAACCAGGGCAAGACCCTGAGCCCAGCTCCTAATGACACACTTAGTTTTTCCAATTGTAAAATGCAAATATCATGCAAAGTCCCCAAAGCTATATCAGCACACTGTTTTGAAATAGCCAAAATTGAAGCATTAACATTTTGAAACATCCAAATACCCATATGTAAGGTTTACTTATTTATATATTAAAACCTTTTTCTTTTTCAATTTTACAATCTACTACTTAAGTAGAAGAGGCCTAAGACTTTATATTTTAGAAAAAATATATACATGAAAATCAGGGGAAGTAAATGAGTAAGCAAAACAGCCTACTTGTCTAAACAAATATTAGGGTAACCTTCTTTAAAAAACAAACTTTAAGATAAAAAAAATTTGAAAGGCTGAGTTTGGATTTTAGTTCCTGTACATAAAATATAAAACAATATTCCTAGCCCATTTCCATTCCTACTTAATAATTTGAAAAGTAAATAAAATAATAGCCCCTTTCCAAGATGGAGAGAAAAATTAGTGAGGTTTGTGTAGTGTGGTCCCAGCATAAACTTTGTACATAGTAAGGGGTCAATATATATCGGTGGTTTCTTTCTTATTTCCAAAATGAGAAGGAATGATGGGTAGATGAGGTTTGTGTGTGTGTGTGTGATAGAGAGAGAGAGAGAGAGAGAGAGAGAGAGAGAGAGAGAGAGAGAGAGGAGAAATGTATACATGTACGATATTGAGAAAAATTAAGAATAGCTAAGAAGTGTTATAGACAGAGTGAATTATTGATTATGACTAGAAAGGCAGCAATATCCATTGAACTTGGGACCTGGTTCCTGAAAGAAGCTGCTGATCTACCTAACCAAGCTGGTGATTTCTCTGTTCAGATAAAGGAGTCAGTGTAATGGCCAAGGACTGTGCAAGCATTGGCTTATTCCTTGTCGCATTTGATAATTCACAGTGGCTCTCTGTGAGAGCATTGCAGTTAATTCTATTTAACTAATAACATCACCAAAGCTAGACAGTTCCCCTCTTTGAAGAGGAAGATGCCATCTCTTTAAACAGGGACAATCTGTGTCCACAAGAGCCTGATCAAATCTATCATCAGAAAATTCTTGGTCCTATGAAAGGATTTTACCCAAGCAGTATTTCCTGGAGTGTGGCATGGGTATCCCCATAGGCTTGAGGATGTGGACATAGGAATATATTGATGATGACTTGAAGAGGTGTTTGCCAACCTCCGAGAATTCAGGATTTCTTTGTGTGTGTGCTTATTAATGTCACTTTGGTAACACGAAGTCAACTATATTCACATCACAGCTATATGACAATATCATAAACACCTTGTCTGTGACAAGATGAAATTTAGCCATACAAATATTCATGAAGAATATTCCAGAATAATAATCAATGAACAAGTCTTGAGTCTAGCACAGGCTAGGACTGTTGGAGTGGAGTGGGTTGGAGGTATGAGGCCTAAAGTGGGTTAACAGGAAGTAAAGGTAGGAGACTTCACAGTCACTAATAATGTGACCAATGTGTTGAATGAGACATGCAAACCAAGTGAAAAGGAAGCATTCTCCATAAGAGAAGAAATTCCAGTCTACCTAACTCTAGCTCGTTCCAGGCACCACTGGGTCTGGGTAGCATAAGACACTCTTCCGCACACAAGGGCATCAGGACTAGTGGAGGACAAGTGTACTTCAGAGATAGTAAATCATACTAGAACCAGATTGTTTGTTGTAGCAACACCCTGGGGACTGGGAAACGAACAGCTTGACCACAGGACACTATCATAGAACAGGAGCGGTGAAACGTCTACACAAACAATAAACCATAAAATAGAGTTCAAGAGCCACTCTAAGGTCCTTGGCTTCAGTTCCATGCAGAGGCTTCAGCATGGCCCCACTGTATACAAAGACAACTCCTGAGTACTCCCCCAACTTTTCAAGATGCCAACCCCAAGAGGTTCTGGAGGATAAAACAACACCTGTGTAATTGTCTGTGGGAACCCATGAATGAATGAAGAACGAAAATGTCCAGTCGCACACACCTATGAAAGAGGATTGTGGGAACTTACCCATCCTCCTTTGTGGTGATCATACTAATCTATGTAGATGAGCCTTTGCCTTCAGACTCTTATCCTTCCTTCTCAATCAGATTAGCATTGGAGACAGCAACATCCCTCAAGACTCAACACACTATTGACTGTCCACATTCTCTCCTAAAGCTCTCGTGTTTCTTTCTTGAAGTGGGGACATTACCATACATGGCCTTTGGGAATTTTCCCAAATGTCCAAAAGCTATCCATGACATTGTGTTAGGTATTCAAAGCCTCTAGCCAGCTGCTGCCAGCAATTACCCTTTAGCTTTCTTAAGCCATCTAGCAGAACGTGCCTCTGAAGAAATTCCATTCCCTCAAGAAACGGGACAAAGGAAACCAGAACCTTCTTCACCCAGTCAGTCCATGGCCACCCACCCCCGAGCTACAGGTCAGCATGGGCAGATGGGGACCAGGTGGTTGGCTCCAGAGCCCACAAGGAAGGTTGAGGGTGATACTGAAGCACTACACACTTATCTGCTGTGTGGGAACCAAGCAAGAGAGGGAAAGTGAGTGACATTATCTAATTGCCAGCTAATTTACATAATTATCGAACGGCACAGTTTTTATGTTGGGTGAACATCTTTGCAAATGTCTCATATTCCGGCTGCTTAGGATGCAAGGGAGACCTCACACAACTCTGACATGTGGGCTATTTGCCACAAGGATGGTTTAGAAGATTTGGCTGCCATTTGCCCTCCCCACCCACTCCTTCCCTTCTCCAGTGGCCATGGGGGTTTAGTTGAGCTTGAAACAGACTCAAGAGCTATGACAGTGTCTAGAACTCGAATGGCTGGGAAGGCATGATGATGTCCATCCTCTACCCAGCCCTACAATGCCCAGGTATTTCAATCTTTCCTGTAGAGTCTAGAGCCTTCTTAACTGCTTCTTAGACCCCTTACTAGGACTTCAGAGGCTATCTAGAGACTTTATGTTGGCTCTGATCCTCAGTTGCTACACCTTTCATTCCACAGAATGAAAGATTGAAACCACCAATCCCAGTTTATGTCATTCCAATGAGATTCGTTCTAATCTCAGATCACACAATCCAGGCTAGCCCGTGAGAGCATTCCAGTCTCCTGCTCACAGTAAATAGTTTGGAGATAAGTCTGCCATCCTAAATGAGTCAAATTAGAGTTAATGGGGGAACTTTAATTGGAATTATTGGGGACATGACCCTCTTAGTCTTTCTACCATTTAATTAAACTCTCAAAGTCAATCTATAGTGGCAAATACCACTCTTATTATTAAAGATAACCTTGTCTATGAATGAAAACAGCAAAGAAAAGTAAGAGCTAAAAGAGGCATAAAGGCAGATTTCTAATGTCATTGTCTGAAAATATAGATCTAATGAGGCCTAAAGAGGAGTGGGTCCTAGCGCTTTCTTTACATAAACCAAACTGGCTTTGAGATGAGGCAAGACCAAGGGTCCTGAAAAATACTATTCTGTTAATACTGAGCTATCAAAAGTTCTGTCTTTTGGCAACTTAGCAAAAGCTTCCATTCATACCGCCCCATCTGTATCTGAGGGAACTTTCTGTGGTTTGAGACCCACATCCTGTCCTCTTCCTGATATAAGGCTCTGGATCCCCATCACCCATGATCTTGGACAAAGGCATAGGACTCAGCAGGCCGCTTCTCTCACTTTGAAGGCAGATGGAGGTTTATTCTTACTCCATACTCTCAGAAATGAACTCCTTCAACTAAATCACAACCACCCCTGCCCCTGACACTATACATACTTCAGTACGTAAGTAAGCCCCTGCTGCAGGCAATGAGAGTCAAGGCACAAATTCGGTCTAAGACCTGAAAGCAGTATAGAGAATAATGAAGAACATGAACTTCTGAGTCAGGCAGAGCTGTACCTTAACCCAGATTCGCACGATTAGAGGCACCTAACCCTGGGCAACT